GATGATGTTGAGCGCTTATTCATGTGCTCACTGGCCATTTAAATATTCTTGGGAAAAATAGCTATTCAAATTATTTGCCCTCTTAAGATTGTGGATTCCTTGCCTTTTTGTTGAGTTGTAAAAATTCTTTCTATATTCCAGATAATCTTGTCAGGTATATGATTTGCAAATATATATCTGCTTTTTGTATTACACATAAGAAAAGAATGCAGGTAAGAATGTGCCAAACACGAACTTCCCTCCAAGCTAAACTGTGAACTTCACAGAGCAACCTTGCCTCAGCCTACCTGTACCCCTAAAGGCTGTGAAACCATTTGGTGAGCTAGAAAAGTTCTTGGCATGGGAGAAAAGACTTCTTTAAACATTTTCTCTTTATTGTAGTAACTTTTTAGAATAACATTAAACTGTAAGTTTTAAGAGGGAAAGAAGGGTTCGGGACTTTGCCATAAAGGAGGACACAAATCCTCAATTTAACAACAAAAATATGAACATGTACAATTACCATCAGGTTTAAGTGCTAAATTATTGGGGGTGAGGCAGGGAAGAGGGGTAGAGGAGGAGAGAGGTAAGGTTTCGTGGTTGATATCGCCAGGCAGAATTGCACAAAGTAATTACAAAAACGTTATATACTTAATGGAGAACATTCTTACGACCTTTATTTCTCCAAAGATGAGCACGACCCCATGTCTTTAAAAATTCTTCATGGCTTATTAATATGTAATCAGTTAATAACTAATAATTGTAGTTAAGAACAAATTCACCTTTCATAAATATCTACTTTTTGCAGTAGAAGAATGTATCAGCTGTTCTCAAATTGAGGCAGATTTCTTAAGAGCAGAATTTTATTCAGACAGGGAAGATAATTTTAAACTCAAAATTACCAGATTTATGCAAACTACTCTGAATACCATATTTCTTTTAATAATTAAGAGATTTCCAAATCCTGGAGCGCCTGGGTGGCTCGGTCAGGTAAACGTCTGACTCTTGGTTTTGGCTCCGGTCACGATCTCACGGTTCATGAGTTTGAGCCCCACATCAGGCTCTGTGCTGACAGTGCAGAGATTACTTGGGGTTCTCTCTCTATCTGTCCCTCCCCGTGCTCTTTCTCTTTCTCTCTCAAAAATAATTAATTTTAAAAAAAGGGAGAGAGATTTCCAAATCCTAAAAAGCTTACAAAGGCATATGATAGTCATGTAGCTTTAATACAACGAATCACTGCTGCTGATGCTGAAATTCTATGAATTTTAATGAAACCTGTCAATTGCTATCAAATGAGTGAGACTGTGTGCAAAGATGCTACAGTGACATAATTATATTCTGTGACTCATGGGATCACTCGTTTGCCTGTCTGTGTGGGTTTGAAAACCCAGCCGCAAACGTTTGCCTTCCTCCCGCCACAAGTGAGGCCCAGGGTGGACAGCTTCAAACAGAGTGACAGCAAAAGGGATGCTATGTGGCTTTGAGGCTGGTTCATACAAGGCCTCGCAGGTACTGCATTCTTCACTGGAACACTGAGTGCCGTGCACCAACGTAAAATCCCGGAGGCCAGCCGGAGAGAGGCCACCTGCAGGCTCGCCTCGCCGAGCCTGGACCCCTATTTAGCTCTGCCAGGGTCCCGGACATGAGAATGAAGATTCTCCAGTTCCAAATGCTGCGGTCCCTGGCCTTCAGCTCCTCTCAGCTGTGGCCCAGATATCACATAACAGGGACAAGTCACCCTCGCTGCGCTGTGTCTGAATTCCTGCCTCAAAGAATTCATGAGCAGAATCAAAGGCTTGCTTTATGTATGTGGGCTGGTTAGTCTCTCAGCAATGGAGAGCCAGAAAACAGATGAACAATTTCACTGAAGAAACATTAGCTGAGTGTCAGTTTGGGGCAAAGGAATGCAAAGAGGAGGGAAGACATGGGCTGTGCTTAGAAGAATTTAGAACCGAGCACTAGATTCCAACTTGCTATCAGCTTGCAGGGACTACTTAACTTCAACATTTTGACTGAGAAATGAGAAGAAGGTAGGGCTGTGCAACACATATCTATTCAAACGGGATATAAACATCATATTTTAAGGGGCGCCCGGGTGTCTCGATCAGTTAAGCATCCAGCTTCAGCTCAGGTCACCATCTTGTGGTTCGTGAGTTCGGGCTCTGCAACGGGCTCTGTGCTGACAGCATAAAGCCCACTTCAGATCCTCCATCTCCCTCTCTCTCTGCCCCTCTCCTGCTTGCATTCTCTCCCTCCCTCTCTCTCTCTCTCTAAAAATAAACAAACATTATTAAAACAAATTATATTTTAGGGACATACGGTGGCTCAGTTGGTTAAATGTCCGACTCTTGATCTCGGCTCAGGTCATGATCTCATGGTTCATGAGGTCAAGCCCCACATTAGGCTCTGTGCTGACAGTTTGGAGCCTGCTTTGGATTCTCTCTCTCCTTCTCTCTCTGCCCCTATCTAGCTGGCACGTGCTCTCTCTTTCAAAAAATAAAGCTTAAAAAATATTACATTTTATAATTTTTATCTTTTTATTTTTGATAATAATAGTCACTCTTAGCTGGTTAGATCAAGCAAGTCACTCACCTTCTCAAATCATTCACCTTTCCAGCGTGTCGCTCACTGTACAGGCCTCAGATGTTTTGGAAATGATTAAATGGGTAGCTCAAATATTAACAAGTTTACCTGGAAAATGGAACTTCCGACTGGACGTAACTGCTTAGCCTTTATCAACTCACAAACAAGGACGGTCTACAATTCCCAAGGTTTTACATCACCAACGTAATGTAATGCTTGATCCAAAATACTAACGATATTTCGACTACGTATCAAATTCTTGTAGGCCGAATTCTCGTAGGCACTTCAGTTACGTGAATATTCCTAAAAGTCTGTGCAATGTCTCCCTCACTGCTCTCAAAATAGTTAGTAACTAAACTGAGACTGTGTTCAGTTCTTTCAACATCTGATAACTGATGTTCCTAAGAGACTCAAGACAAACCTAGCCTGTAAAAAGAGTAGAGTCCGACAGAGAAGTGAGATAAGCCTAAAACATCCTTCAACCTCAGCCATGAGTAAAACCGACCCAGAATACCATCTGCAACAGCTTAGCATCCATTTGCACAAGGTCCCCGCTGTTTTGGTCCAATTCTACCCCTGCTCGCGGGGAGGGTACACAAAAACCTAAGGCCGCTTGCACTTTCTAAGAGTCTGTATCGACCCTCCACTTTTTCTTGGCTCTTCCTAGACCATACGGCTTAGGTTAAACACTTCTTCTACAAGTCTTCATGTTTCGGACATTTTAATAACATCTTGTTCTTTCCACATATCGTAACGATCTCTAATAAGTGCCCTTATTTTACAACACTGAGGTGCAGGAGCAGAATGACCCCACATACTCAGGTCTATAGGAGACTTTTATTCCCACCTGGTTGTAGGGGACCTGGTCCAGCCTGCGGTAAAGTTGGCATGGTGTATCCGAGTGGCAAAGAAGAATATTAGGTTAGGCCTTACCATACCGTTAACTGGCTCTAAATCTTTGGGGCTCTGTTTCCTGATTTATAACGTGAGGGGATTAGGTTAGATAATCTCCAATTCTGATTTGAGGTGGGAATATAAAGCTGAGCTGTTCCACACCATTCCTGTATGATTATTTCTAAGCCCCGTGTGTTGTACTGTGAAGTTTTCCACAGCAGTCACGGCTCTACACTTTACAGGTGGCTTAACTCTGAAACCTAGAAATCTCTACATTTACTTCTGTCATATTATGTGATCCCACACAAGACAAAAGAGATGTATTTCAACCCTTCCTAAGGGTATAAATTATTTTTTAAAATTATTTTTAATGTGTATTATTTTGAAAGAGGGAGAGACAGAGCATGAGCAGGGGAGGGGCAGAGAGAGGGGGAGGCACAGAATCTGAAGCAGGCTCTAGGCTCCGAGCTGTCAGCACAGAGCTCGATGTGGGGCTCAAGCTCACGAAATCATGAGATCATGACCCGAGCCAAAGTTGGACATTCAACAGACTGAGCCGCCCAGGTGCCCCAGAGTATAAATAATTTTAAAGATCAAGTCTTTTATCAAAGCCAAATTCTAAAACTCATTAAACAATCAGCTACATAAATTACTTAACCTTTTAAAAAGCTTTCTTTGTACAACAGAAATCCCACTAAATGCTTTAAAGTTTCTAACCCCTAGTTCTTTTCCAGTCTAGTTCTTGAACACAGAATCTTTAGAAGGCCTGGGCAAATATAATCATGCATGCTCATTTGCATTATGCAACAAAATCACCATTTGTACTGTCTGCCTAACAGCCCATACAAGTGATGTACTTCCGTGGCTTTAACCCTTCCCCGAGTATAATTAGACCCCTCTAATGTACTGAGCTATGCACAGTGCTACAGTGAACACATCTTTATATACAAATTTTCCTTCTTCTGAATTATTTTCTTAGGATAATAAGCTTCTTTCACAGTTTTTGAAAGAAACCGCCAAAGTGCCTTGGAAAAAGTCGATCGCTATATCCTGCTGTCCATGCGAACCTAACAGCCTCATGTTATACCAGCAAAAATGTTAGCAGGCTCTAACTCTGTTACTCTGGCTTTTGTATTCAGATTTTTGATACACTATAATATAAAATACTGTCCACCCAACTTACTTATTGTCTCTCTTGTATTTGGTTTGTCCCTGTACTGGGGTGCCCAGGGGGCTCAGTCAGTTGAGCATCTGACTTCGGCTCAGGTCATGGTCTCACGGTTCGTGAGTTCGAGCCCCGTGTCGGGTTCTGTGCTGACAGCTCAGAGCCTGGAGCCTGCTTCGGATTCTGTGTCTCCCTCTCTCTTGGCCCCTCCCCTGCTTGCGCCCATCTCTCAAAAATAAACAAACATTAAAAAAAAAGAAAAAAGATTTGTCCCTGTACTTACGGATGCCTTGGTTCTCTTTATGAAGTTTCTGCTTGTCTGAGCAACGCTTTGACGAAACCTGGACTCGCTGCTCTTCCGCCCACAGGCTCTGCTTACCTGTTTTTAAGGTGCGCCTCCAGGTCACAGCGCTGCACCACGTCCCGGCACACCGAAGAAAACGGACAGGACACTAACAGCTTGTCCAGCAGCTTATGAACTAGGATACTAGACTTCTTACACAACTTGAAGTGGAGTCTCTTCCGGTCCAGGGGACAGAAATCCTTCTCCTGTAAGAAGTTTCTGAGGCACTTGCAGCAGAACGTGTGTCCACAGGGGGTGTCCAGGGGCTGCAACAGAGGCTGAAGGCAAATATGGCAGACCAGATCGTCATCCACTTCGTTCTGGTAATTGTAGAGATGGTTCTCCCTCGTCCAGTGCTGCTGGCCGCACTCGAAACACAGGGGGTTGAAGGAGGAGGAAGAGGTCTGCTCCACAGACACCATCTCGTCACTCGCCGTTCCCATCCTGAACCAACCAGAGCCGTTTCCGTCTCTTCATACGGTAGCCTTCCACGTCGGGTGTGGTTTTCTTCACTGACGGCGATGCATTTGACTCAAACCGAGGATTTTCTGGATAAACAGAACCAAAAAAGTAGTTGATATCAATCAAGATAGGCTAAAACCATCGATACTGGTTGACATCCTTTTTAGTAAAATAAAGAAAGAAATAAAACAAAATTTAGATCAGGTGAGAGATTAGCCATAAAACCCCAACAGTTACATTAACTCATCTGCCAGCTGGCTAAGAACGACTTACGTTGCCCAGTTCTTAGTGGGATCCGGAACTTGTGATTAAAAGCAAAGATGCCACGGATGGTGTGACAGAAGAAAGAATCCATTTGTTTCAACGGACTGAAATCCTCCAATACTTCACTGCTCAATGCCAATGAATCTACACAGTCTGCTAATAATGCACTTTGAGGTATTTTATGCGATGCGTTTGCATCTGCCGTTCCAGCCACGGCTCTTTGCTTCTGATTTTACACACTTACAGCGCTAGAGCAAAGACCACGTCTTTCAAATGTAGTCTCAAAGATCATTCAGCGCCTGTTTAAAAAATGACCTTTGCCCTCCACTGTTTAGAAAATACGGATTTCAAAACATGCATAATTTGAATATTCTCTCTCACAGATTACAGAAATATACAACTGCACAGCATATACAAATAACATCTGTGCAAACTCGATAAACTCCATAAAGTGCAATCCTATTTTATGCCATTAGAGGAAAAGGCCCACTGTAATTCCATTAGATAAGATGTGTTACAGACTATAATTCTACACTTTGATTTGTTCTTGCTTGTGCGTGCGCACGTGCGTTTTGTGTGTGTGTGTGTGTGTGTGTGTGTTTGTGTCTCCTCTCCGACCTTAAGACTCGCACAAGAACTTCTCCCGTTCAGTCCGCGGCCAGTAAGGAGTGCTCCCCTCACCCTCCCCAGCAGCACCCGGGGTTACAAATCGACTCCAAAAGCAGCAGCTGTCTATACTCATCTTCTGTAAATATTTACAGCCTCTAGTATGCGCCAAATGTTGAACAAGGAGACAGGAGAGGTAGAGAGAGGACAGTTAAGAAAACTCGTTTTTAAAATTCAATACAGTCGGGGCGCCTGGGTGGCTTAGTCGGTTAAGTGTCCGACTTTCGCTTAGGTCATGATCTCGCGGTTCGTGGGTTCGAGCCCCGCGTCGGGCTCTGTGCTGACTGCCAGCTCAGAGCCTGGAGCCTGTTTCAGTCTGTGACTCCCTCTCTCTCCGACCCTCCCCTGGTCACACTGTCTCTCTCTCTCCTAGAAATAAATAAAAACATTTAAAAAAAATTAAAAAAAATAAAATAAAATAAAATTCAACACAGTCTACGAAAGCCAGGTGCAGGATGCTCGTATGCGAATACAGAGAGGGATGAGTTACACGGCATCTAACTCAAGCTTGGCTTTATAGCCGGAAATACTTTCAAAATGGGGAAAACATGGACTAGTGACTTGGGACGGGGCATGTCAGCAGACAGAACTGGGCCAGAGCCTGTCCGCAGAGGGTCAGAGGCTTCGAGCACAGAGCACACTTGAGGGAGGATGGGGCGGATCAAAATATCTGAGGCATGCCCGCCGTACTCACAGCGGGGGTGGGGAGGTCCTAAAACGCGGGTGTCCCCACCACCCACAAGGACGAGAGGGCAGGACGCCAGGTTAATGGTCCCAACATCTGTTTCAATGACAAAGTTCTCCTCCTGTCGTGTTTATGTACTTTCTCTTTTGTTTATTTAGAGTATTTGGTAGAAAAATGACATTAACATTTTAACCAAGTGGACAAGAACTCCCATAAATTATGAATGGATGGGACAGGATTCAGAGGGGCTAGCTGACCTTCAATAAACTGGTTTTAAAAATTACTTAATAAGGGGCACCTGGGTGGCTTAGTCGGTTAAGCGTCCGACTTTCGCTTAGGTCATGATCTCGCGGTTCGTGGGTTCGAGTCCCCGCGTCGGGCTCTGTGCTGACTGCCAGCTCAGAGCCTGGAGCCTATTTCAGAGTCTGTGTCTCCCTCTCTCTCTGACCCTCCCCTGCTCACGCTGTCTCTCTCTCTCTCTCTGTCTCCTAGAAATAAATAAAAAAAAATATATATTAAAAAAAAAATTACTTAATAAAATAACAGCAGGGGCGGCCTGTGATCTAAACCCGTATCGGTACCAACATTAAGAGAGCAAGTGCTTCCTGTATTTTGTAACTCACCAGGCTGGTTTTTCACCCTCTGGGGATCATAACTTTTTAAACGTCAGCGCAGGCATGTGAGATTCAGGAGAGAAACATCATTTATGCCAGGCAGACAGAGTGGGTATCTTACTCTGGAATGTCCTGAGACTCTTATTCCTGACCCAACTGGCAAGAAACTTCACATCTCCTTAGCTCTTCTTCCTCTGTGATCGTGCTCACTCTCATTTTTCTCTTCCTCAAGAAAATATACTGCAATTCTAGCCTCCCACATAATGACTAAGAAAGCATTTCTCTTAAGACGATTATGTTTTAGCTATTTTCAAAAGCTCTAAATAACGTTTAGTTCTTTGATTATTTATCACACAATCTTTTTCATGTGGAAAAATAACATGTTCCCATTTAAGAACAGCATTCTCTCCACCCCCGAAATACTTCTGTTACCATGAAGCAAATATGAAGTGAAAAATGATCACGTGTGGATCGCTGACATGTGCACAGAAATACCGATTAAAAAACTGTGAGGCTGTATAGCGTAAGCAGTAAAGAGCACATACTCGGGCCAGTCTGGTCCGCGAGGGTTCAGATCTTCACTCTGCCACTTACTAGCTTTGTGACCTTCCTAAATGTCTCTGTGTCTGTTTCCTTCTCAGATGTAAAATGGGGGTAATAACAGTGCCTATTTCAAAGGGTTGACATAAAAGAATAAATGAGTGTATATGAGTATACAACAGAGCCTGGCACATAATGGATGCTATAAAAGTATTAGCTATTATTACTATCATTAAAGAAACAAAAGTTCAGACAGATTATATGATTTGCAAAAAGCTGAACAACTTATAATTACTTGGTAAGAAATATGGAAGATAAATCTGGCTCTTTCTTGCTTCAAAATAACCCAAAAGTAAATCAAGTAATTATAAGAAAGAAGAGAGGTATTTCATGGAAGCCTGAGTGTATGAATTTTTAAGGACAAAGGCAGCCTCATCTGGTCTTTCCAACCCCTGATCCCATCCCTCTACCCCCAGCCGGGGCAGATGATTTCATTCCTTCTTTGTGTGCAGGTCCACTCCACCACCTTATGGACTGCTTCTCACACTAACCTGTGAGGTCCTTAAGAGCTGGACCCCCCACGGGGGAACTCAGGAAATGCTCAGTGACTACATGGTGACACGTGCTTGCGCACTCTTGCTACATTCAAGGGGCCAGAAGCACATCGATGTTTATAGGAGGATATGTCCATGTTTATACAGAATTTTGATTTCGGATAGTCTATGAGCACAAGCTGAAATATTAAAATACAAGTTAAATAAATAATAGCCCTAAGTATTTTTCATAATACAAAGATAAAATGTAGTATAATGCATATCTTCACAAACTACATTATCTGTTGAGCTAATATTCCAGGCAAAGTAAAGAGATGGAAGCCACTAAGTTGGCTGGGAAAGTTACAACATGTTTTAAATAATATCTTGAAAAATAGCCAGTACAATGGAAAGGGAGCGAGAAGACAGTATTTTCTGCCGAACTCCAGTTACAAGGGACGAGCTCGCTCTTCCTGTTAACAAGGCAAGTATATCCTCGTACATCACAGATACTCTCGAAGGGCTATGGCTTTTCATAGTCAATCTGAAAACTCCAAAACTGTCTATTATTCAAATTGTTTCTCTTGAGGTTATTTTTAAGTCAGACTGAAGGAGTCCTCGGGGTCCCTGACCTAGGAGATCCAGCCCAGGGAAAGAGACGATGAGCTACAGATGGTGAGATGGGAAACCCCTAGGTTCCTTTGGCTCATCAATGCCAAGAAGCTCAGACTCCTTACATGTCCTTCTGGCAAACTCCTACTTAACTCTACTTGCTGTGTCGAATCCCATCGGCCTCCTTCCTTGTCTTGGGCATATCTCCCTTCCCGTATACCTTGCTGCTATTTACGCATACCTTCATTTCAGCAATTACAACATTTGCCTTCTTGCTTATCTGTCGTCTCGGCTCTTTGAGGGTAAAGATAGCATCTCCTTTATCTCTTGTATTCCCTGTTCTTGGCCCATATTATGCACTAAAAAAGATTTTGTTCTCAGGCTCGCTCATACTTGAGCCTGAAATGTTTAAGAGTCCTGAAACGTGTACTGTCACCATATAAATATCTAGGAGAAAACCTTGCACATTTATTCGCGGCACTGCAAAGCAGTCAACATATTGGACCCTGCTCTGTGACTACAAAGAATAAGAAATTACTTCCTTTCACCTTCAAAAGTTGGAGAATTTTAAGAAGTTATTTCCTTACTTGATGCTATCAACACAGGAAACTTTTCTCCTTGTGTATGTTATATACCAGCTTTGAAAGCCGCCTTCTTATACGGCAGTGGATGTCAGACTTTGACACCTAAGGAACCCTTCATCCACTCTGGACAAGTCTGGCGGTTTCTTAAAGAACAAATGTGCAGCTACTGTTCCGCTTATTCCAGAGAAATGAAAACTTATGTTCCCACGTAAACCTGTACAACTTTATTTGTGATGGCCCCCAACTAGAAACAACGCAGGCATCCTTCACCGGCTGGGTGGATAACCGTGGTGCCTCTGTATTACCGAACAATTCTCAGCAATAAAAAAAGAGAATGAATTATGATTGCTATACACAATCGGATGAATCTCCAAGGAATTATGCTAAAAACAGCTGGTCCCCAAAGGCTGCATACTACATCATTCCATTTAGGTAATACTCTTGAAATGACTACTGACCTGTTGAGATATTCATTGGTTAATAAAACAATAAACCCATTACATGCCGGGATTCTTATGAAAAATCACATCTCTTTTTCCAAAATGAAAAATACAGTGAGAAGAGAGGCAGTTGTTTTCCATCTTTGTC